AAATCTACAACAATTACTGTGCCAGGTATTACGCTGATTTATCAAATTGCAGTTGAAAGTCAAGAAGAGTTGAGGATACAGTGATAAAACATCTGATCTCAAATCTGACTCTAAATTACCCTTCTGGCCAGCACAGTATTTCATCCAGAAGAATTGTTATTCCTCTCATCTCTCTTCTTCAAAAATCATTGTTCAAACCGATAATTTTCCACTCCTTGTGTATTGGAGTAAGTACTTTGTCTGCTCCGTGCACTGGGTGATTAGCTGCTAAGGTGATGCTGAGTATTTTGGACCGGGCCACGCAAACCTCCCACTGCAGGGCGGAGCGTACAAAATGGAAGCATACTGACTGTGGTTCATCACCACAAGACGCGGTCTCTCTTTTGGACCTTTCTGTCCTCAGAAAGATGGCAAAGATGCATCATGTTTGCTTGACAGGTAGAGCCTTACCATCACCTGGTGACAGCGGTGGGCACAGGGCAGGCAAAGCGCAGCCGGTCCTGCCGATGAGGCTCATGTCCTGACTACCTCAGCCACTTGCACCGTGCAGCAAGGACCCCATCGACCCCATGCCTGTGCCAATGGGCTGGGTCATGAAGCAGGTGGAAGTATTTGATGGTGGCCACCACCTTTGTGAAGCACAGGTAAGGCCGGGGTGATGAGCTGCAGGTGCTGAGCAGCCAATGCTGGGTCCGACAGACAACCTCTTCGCCTGGTTGCACGGCACTGCTGAGCCTGAGCTCGGGGGTCCCAGCGCTGTACGTGGGGGCTGTCCCAGGAGCTGGGTCCCAGCACCGTTGCACATTTCCTTCACCACGGACTTGCTCTAGGTCTCACCACTCTGCTTCCAGCAGGAGGACGGTGAGGACCACCGCTCTCCCCACCAGAACTGCACAGCAGCCCTAACCCTGATGGGACCTTTGGGGAATGGAGACACTTGCTGAGGCGCAAAGCTGCCCTTGGAGGAGGACCAGGACCTCACTGGGGCTGGCACAAGACTTCTACTCCTAGCACGTGCTGCTGTTGTCAGGGTCCTGGGATTTGTCAAATGAAGTCCTTTCCTTTGATCCTTCTTGCGTAAAGTTTTCAATATTACTTGTCAGGACTGTTTTCCCTTCCATTCCATCATCTTAATAGTAATAACACAGATGTAACAAAGACAAACTGCCCTCCCAACGCTGCTGGGGTGTTTGTGGCCATGGCCCTGAGCTGTGGGTGCAGCTCAGGGTGGTGCCTAAGGTGAAACCACAGGCAAAGACCAGGCCCTTTCTGCACACCACCAGCCCATGGGACACCCCGGGGGTGTGGGACGCTGTGTTCCGGTGGGGTGGTGGGATGCTGGTGGATATCCCTGTTGCTGTGCGAGCCGGGCATTGCCATCCGGAGGCATCCCATCCCATCCTGGGCTGCGTGGGCTAGCCCAGAGGGCTGAGTCCCTGCGCTCGAAGGGTTAACACCGCTGAGATCCCGCTGATTAGATTTGTTAAACTCCCTATTACATCCTACGGCGCTGCTAATTATGTCTTCATAAACCAAAGTCAATTAGCCAGGTCTCTCCCTGCCCGTGCCTCTTAACTTCCCTTTCCATCATTAGCCCGACGCCTGGGAACACCCGCCTGGGTCCTGCCTCCCCCGTGGTGCCGCGGAGCGTGCCAGTCCCCTGCCCCAAAGCTGGTTTGGAGCCTTTCGAGGATCTAGCTGGTGCTTGTGGACTAAACGTGGAAGCGCTGCAGCTCGTCCTGCCCAGGAGCACGCTCTCTGCAATTGCAACGGCTCAGGCGGGAGGCGAGGAGGTGGGGGCAAGCCAATATCCTTCTTCAAATACGGAAAAATTACTGCAACAAGGAAAGCAATAAATTCTTCTCTACGTTCAAAAGCAAGGGATTTGCTTTGTAGGGCGAGAGATCTAGGTTATCTGCCTGGAATTTAAAGGTTTTTAAAGGGAGCTTAGGTGCACAGGGTGGGTTTAGGAAGAGCTGACCCTGCCCTTAGGTGCAAGGGATGATCAGACGGCTTCTTGAGACCCAGCTGCCACATTTTCTGCTAATGTTAATAATAGACCAAGGGTTCGGACCAAGGACGGGCTCACCCGGCCACACCATCGCCGCCTGGCCCATTGCCCCGGGTGCTCGCCCTTGCCTGCCCACGGCGCTGGGGCTGAACCTGTTAGCGGAGACTGGATGCATTTCGTGAGCCAGCCGTGACGGTGGATGGGAGGCTCGGCTCCCAGTTGCTTCCCTGGAGCAATTCCAGGTCCGTGACAAATAGCCAACATCTGGAATACCGTTCAAGCACAGCTGCCATCATGCAAATTTAGAGATTAGTAGGGATTAGAGTGATCTGGAACGTCTCACAATTTCTCATTAATGCCCCGGGCTCTGTAATAGCCAACTGCCCTGCATCCCCGAGGTGGCTCCCGCGTCGCCGTGGCTAGAGATCGGTCGCTGCGCCCTGCACGGCTGCCCCATGGCAGCCACCAGCCCTTTGCCATCGCCTGCCACGGATGAGCAGGGGCAGCCCACAGGAACACCGGCAGGCTGGCTAGAAAGGCGTTAAAAGCACGGGTATTGCTTTGCACAGTCAGTCCTAAATTGGCAAGGTCACCTCGCCACCAAGGAGACCTTCTCAGTGGAGGCTTTGGAATGGCTGCAAAACCACCGTCGCAGCGACACGAAGACGACGCAGCCGGGGGGCTGCTGGGCATCGTGGAGGGGCACCTTCCTTCGGAAAAGGCAAAGCACAGGGACCTGGTGTAATGTGATGCTTCCAGTGAAGACATCTTCCAGATCGCCTCCCAGGGCTGGAAATGGCTTCCCTGTGATTTCAGAGTCTCAAGGCCACTTACCTGCTACACACACAAAAAATTAACATTTTAGAAACTCTCCCTGGAATAAGTCCTATCTCTTTGCTGTGATAACTCAGGGCAGGTTTTCATCTTAATGTCCTATTTTTTTTTCCCCCTTATTTTAGTAATTGCATATTTGGAAGAAATCTCCTGGCTCTGATATTGCAGAGTAATTATCTGCTCACCACTAGCTAGCCAAGCTGGGCTGAGATCTCATTGCTTGTGCGGCTCCTCCGGTAGTTTTATTTCACTCCTCGTTTTATTTTCAAATGGCTCAAGATTACAGAGATAAAATGGGAGCTTCATGGCCTTATGCTGGCCACCAGCGAGGAAGAATCCCACCTTTATAGCTTTATCCAGCAGCTCTCCTTGCTTGCCCATCTCCACAGCTGTCGTGCTGTGTTGGTGAGACTTTTGCTGTGCTTATATCAGAATAAAATACAGAGTCACCGTGGTCAATGGGACAAGGTACTTTTTCCGTTTACACTTGCAGAGAGCAGGAAACTTGGGGTTAAGAGTGTAACTGCTCTAATGAAACTTGATTCACAGAGTTATATCTTGATTTCACGTCTCATGCCGAGAAAGCAAATGTTCTCAGCAGAGAGGACTGCCACTCAGTCGCCTTGCAATAACACTGCGATGGCCTCAGACGTGGAGGAGAACATAGATTTTTTTTTATGTCAGGCTGATTGCAGGAGGAGTTTGTGACCTGCCTGGATTTCTGCAAGCCTCCGCGGGGCCCTGCAGCTCCAGGGACTTGCCGTCCCTTGCCATGGTGCCGTTATCTCCATCTCTCCCGGCATCCAGGGTGGGCTGCTGGGGGTTCCTTGGTCCAAACCCACCCTGCCCCAAAGCACCCCTCCATCTCAGGTCTTCGTCATTGCCCCTGAGCAGGCAGCTCCTGGGTGGGATTTTGGGGTGGGCCCTTTCTGGGTGTGTGGGATGATGCTACGGCGGTGTCAGCCAGAGGACACAGCAGGACAACTCCCGCCACGTGTTCCTTGCCGTGTCCAGTGGCCTGCGGGCCAGCAAGAGCTGCGGCTTGGTATTCTAGTGGGGACTTACTGCAATAGGCACAGGGCATGGCAGCAAGTTTTGTAGCATATGTAGAACTGCTGGGCAATGAAAATGACCATTTATCTCATCAAAAAAACCCTTAACTCTGAAGGGTGAGCTCTTCCTCGGTTCATTAAAATGGTCTGAAAGCTTAAAAAAGTTATTTCAGGTCACTGGAGAACGTAAATGTTAAGGCCATTTTCATCATAAGACGGGTAGCAGTGGGGAAAAAATAGGCTCTTAGCTGTGGCATTTGGACCGGAACGAGACCCGATGTCCCAAACTGCATGGGAAACACAGCCATGCCCCAGCTTCACGTTTCCATTCAAATGTGCACTGGAAGAAGTTGGGCCTTATCTAAAGGAGGGTAACTTCTCTGCTAGTGACACAACATGGTGAGACTCCTATGGCCAAGCTGCATTTATGAAAGGGCTTAAAACGGTGCGTTAATTAACAGGTTTCCTCCAGACAGGTGGCCCAGGGTGTGAAATTTCACCTCATTATTTTTTATGCCATGTGAATTTTCCATCCTTGCTATGGAAGGAGGCAAATGCCAATTCGATCCTTATGCCATTTGAATTTTCCATCCTTTTCGTGTCCTTCTCATCCGCGCTTCCTAGGAAAAGTCGGAAATGGGGCTCCTGTGGGCATTTGCTGGCGGCCCCCAGGCAGCCTGGCGACCCCCACGTCTGTGAGGGCATTTTCAGTCTGCTCAAGGGTTGGCAGCAGGGAGGAGGGTCGACAGGGCTGGGGCATGGGGTAGCTCTGTAAGCAAACGCGTAGGGCGAGGCGTTATTGCTTGAGAAAGGAAAGTACCCTCTGCTGAGTGTAAAGTTGGCATTTTCCAAGAAAATGAAAGAAAACTGCTTGTCTGTGCCATTGCTCAGTGATAGCTTCCATTGCCGGGGGCGGTCACAGATATATTTAATTAAGGAGTATTGGCCCAGAGCGAGGGGGGAGGAAGAGAAAGCAAGTGAGAATGTGATGGGAATGGAGCGAGGGATGGGAAAGCTGAGGAGGATGAGGACAAGGCAGGGACCTCGCTGGCCGGGACATTTCCAGGGTGTGCCCCCCGAATAAGGACAGACTGGTTCAGTTCTACTTTTCATATGTTTTATTATAAAGAAAGGTAAGATAAGCATTGTGAACCGAATGTGCCAGGTGCTGCGAAAGCAGCACTGTCAAACAAAATAAAAAATAAAAAAAAACCCCAAAAATGCACCTTATGAGAAACCGTAATTATGCTCTCTAATTTTTCATAAATAGACAAAAATCATTGTCAGCAATTTTTAAATAGATGGACATATGGCAGAAAAAATATAATAATGCCATACAACATGGATATAAATTGTCCATTTCTTGCTGTACAAATAATAGAAACAAGTTTGGCAGGCTTTTTTTGTTGTTTTTTTATACACATCTCCCTTCTATGTATAACTAAAAAATGTGCTACAATTAATATAAAATGCTTTTACTATAAAGTAAACTACTAATTTTTTTCACAAAAAAATCTTAAAGATGTCTTTAGCACAGCTCTAAAACACTTAGTAAACTACTTACAACTATCCAACAAATTATATTTTCATGATCTTTTTCACATTTTTCCTCTCGTATTTTGCCTTCTGCTCTCTCCCCCCACCTACCTAGCAATAGTTTTTAGTTAATTTTTTTGTATTTTTTTTCGCCAGACATCCAAGGCCTTTGCATGTACAATATTCACACAAACTTCACATTTTCTTGCACAAAGTTTAGTGCTGTTAGCAAGTCAAAAGAGTGCATCCTCCTACTGAGCTGGCCTAATGCTGTAGGACACCAGACCTGGGCCTATGCTGTGTCTAAAAGCAGTTCACTAGGAAAATAGTCTGTAGCTAAGCTGATGGCAAGCAGAAAAATGGTGTCCTTAGGGGTTTTTTTTGTTGTTTTTGTGTTTATTTTTTTTTTTATTCTTTTCTTTTTTGTTCTTCATGTTTTATGAGGTTTTGGGCTTCCACGGAAAGTAGACTTTAGAGTTCAAAAATAATAAAAGAAAACTGCTCTTAGAGCCTGGAAATGAAGCCAGCGACGAGGTGCAGTGGTAGCTCTCTCGTCCGTACGACTTGCTCGGTGCCTCTCCGGGCAGTCTGTAAGATAGACCCTCTCAAGTGTCCTTCGTCTGAGCTTCCTCGAAAAGAGATGTTGAGTTTTAGGTGAGGTAGAGTGCCTTGTCCCTTGGCAGCATGCTGTAAGAGAAATGAGAGGCAGAAGGTGAGGCGGGCAGGGAAACGGCCGGGAAGTCGCCTGGGGGAGCTGAAATTAGCATTTGCACACCCGGTCGCACACCCATTTTCAGCTGTGGCTGAACCCATGGCATGGTTTTTATGGCACTCCATAATGGAAGACATAACGTGGTCTGCACCGAGCCACGGGTGTGCAGAGGTGAACCAAGCAGAAGACACTCCAGAGTACGAGCCTGGTGCAATTTTAGTTCTTTCTGAATTTCAACAATGAGGGCTAAGACATAAATTCCTTCCGGTGGCTTAATTTTCGCTCTTGCTAGGGCTGCAGGGGAGGGCCGACTCTGGATTTCCCTGCAGAGCACGCCAGCGTGATGCTGGCACCAGCTCCACCATCCTGCTGCGGAGTGCTGTGCCTGGAATCAGCCCCTTGGCCACCGGCCCCCTTCATCACACACTGTACTTAGGCTAGACCATGGAGACGTAGAAAATGTACACTTGCTTTTGGATAAAATGTGTCATTCTGACGCTGCATAAAGAGCAGGGGGCCTCACAAATGTGGTTGAGGGGCTTATGCCTGAAGATGCTTGTGGCTGCCCAGGAGGATTTTACATAAGTTTCATGGCTGAAGAGCATGGGAGCAGGAGGCACCATCTGCTCGACACCTCTCTCCTCCTCTCCCAAAATAAGTACAACTAGAAAAATTAATAATCAGGAAGTGAGGGGAAAAAAATCTTTGAGACAGCAGGATTAGCCGGCCTTCCCCGTGGGTCCGATGGAAGACAGCAGGAGGTACAAGGAACCCAAGGAAGACTGTGGTGCAGGAGGCTACGGAGAAGGGCTGGTGGGGCAGCAGCCAGGCTGCGTGCTCTGATCTTGAACTGATCACAGTATTGAAGCAATGACTTTGATTTCAAGAGATCCAGGTGTGTCCTGGAGAGGGAAGCCAGCTTACACCACCGAGACACCCCGCGTGCGGACAGCTCGACAGCAAGGTGTGCGGAGAGGTATCGCCGCTCCCTTCCCTGCCCACGGTACCCGGTGCTTCAACCCTCCGTGTTGGCTGGCTGGCACTTTTAACTTGCCATCAGCAGCGTCCTACGAGGGAGCCCAGAGGCTCCTTTTTTTCAGGACATAGCAGAGGGAGGGGTGGCTGAAGTCCCTCTCCCCTGGCTGACGTCCTATGTGGGTTTTGCTCTGAAATCCAGGCATTTTAATGGGTTTTATCATCTACGCAGACCCGATGGAAGCATTATTGGCTCCATAAAGACATTTTGGCCTTAAAAGGTGGTGAAGAACATTACAAAGCTTTGGGAGATGCCAGTGTGGGTGTGCTTATGAGTGGAATAATAGGGAAATAGCTGACAGCAAGGTAATGCTGTTGTTGATAGAGCTGTCTTCTGACACAGCGCAGAAGAGTCCGCGCTTTGTTAATCTCCACATTTTATAATCTGCATTTAAAATGCAGAGTCTTCCCCACTGCACTCAGCAAAGATTTCATGCCACTGAGCAGCAGTGAGGTATTCCAGTACTAAAACTTCACTAATTTTACAAAATATGCTACAGAACATTTCCCAGTTCATTACAAAGTATTACCATAAATAATTTAATCCAAACTAAGTGCATTTGTGATGGTTTATCCTTGCCTTTTTACAGTGTTTTCTCATTTAGTTTCTGGTTTGGAAAATTCCCCCTTTTGGAGAGGATCACTTCATCGTTAGCAGGAATTAGCGAGGTTGTAAGTGTCCGGATGAAGTGGCTGTACAGGGTTTTGTGCATCTGGACAAGGCATAACTGAGAACATCCTGTCTTTTGGCCCAAAGGAGAGTGGGAAGAGGGGAGAAAAGTTGCTACATGATGGTACCCAAAAAGAACCTAATCCATGCCTTGCAAATGAGAGGAAGGACGTAGAAAGATGAATGCAGCTCAGTGTTATCGCCAAAATATCTAAATGCTAGGAGACAAATGTAAACAAAACCCTGAAGACAGCGTTGGTATGGAAAGAGCTGTAATCAGAAGACAGGGCAATAAAAACAAGTGAGGTGCCTCGAGGAATTAAGAAAGATTTGCAAGGGATTGTAAACAAAGCTGCACCCTTGATCCAGGTGAGCTAGTTCCCTTGGAGAAAGTCACTGCAAAACACGGATATTCCATGGGACAGAGCAAGTGCGAGAACAAGGCTGTCAGGCGAGGGAGACAGGGGACTATATAAGCAGTTTGGGATACAATGGCAAAAAGCAATAAAATTGTATGCTGCACTTGCTTGTGGGAAGTGATAGTCATATACTAAGCAGGAACTGAGAAACGCTATCCGTGCCTTTGCTAGCAATCTAGGACAGCTTGGGCTTAAGCCCAGAAAGAGCTAGGAAAATTGGATGGAAGTCAGTAAGCACAAAATCGTTAAGAATGGGGAGAGCATGAGCTAAGAAACATTTAAAACTCTCTCACTAACATGGCTGATTTATGGTTTAAGGAGTGTCTGCTCACACGATCCTAGAATTTGAGGGGCATAAGGAAAGAAGTGTCATTTAATGGCATTTTAACTAGCACTGATAGGCTGGGGAAGAAAACCCAACCTACAGCAGTTCCCTTATTAGATGGAGAAGGACAGAGAGAAAAAGACAGCCTTATTAGTTTTTTGGAACTTGTCTGGATGACAAACACAAAAGCAAATGTAGGACTGGGAGGTTTTACCCCAGCTAACCCAGTGCCAACACATGGTGGAAGCTAAAGAAATGTCAAGGCCAGACATGAAACAAAAATCCTAACCTGGAGAGCAAGACAGGACTGCCCGTGTGCTGGGGAGGTTGGCACCATCCTCTCTTCCAGGAATCTGGGACTCCACAGCTGAGTCACATCACAACAGAAAATAATCCTTTTTCTTTCCAACCAGTTGCTGATTTTGCTCCTCAGAGTGCTGCTTTAATTGCAATTAAGCTGAATGCAGTTTTGAGGTTGAAATGGGCAATTACATGATCCAGAGACTTCCCGATTATACCTAAACTGCACTGATGAATCAAACCCAACAAGATCTGCCTTCCCTTTATCGCTGCTTTGCCTAAGTCCTGCTGATCGCCGGGGCCGTTCAGGCACACAGCTCACCCGGCGTCTCACGCCCAGCCCACGGCGAGGTGCCGCGGAGGAGCCCAAGGGTAACTCTGAACGTCACTCGCAAATCAGTGCTAAAGACGTTGGAGAAAGCAGTACAGACAGGACGATGACGAGAACCAGATCATCTCTTTTCTCGACATGAGTGTAACCTTGAGACCCAGTGGGGCTGCAGTCCTGCAAGTGCGTGTGGGTGCTACAAGCAATGCAGAGCATGCACTTAGGCAGCAAATGCCAGGGGCTAGCAGGAGCGGGAGGCGATGGCACTGCTGCCGCACCAGGCTTTACAACAAAATGAGAACAAGCCAGCTTTGGGAGCTGGGCTACCAGCAGCTCGTGTGTCTCTAGTCACGGGCAATGGGCTCCTTCTTCAACACAGACTGGGACATTTTTTGGTGCACTAAGCACTCTCTGCAGTACTGATCTATATCCGAGTTCATTGCTATAATCTACTCTAATAATTATCTGGAAGTCTCTGCATAATCTGTCTGGTTTTAGAATGATTTTTTTTTTTCCCAGGAAGCTGCGATAAACCCATGAAATTCGATATTTCTGCTGTGACAAAGGCATGAAATGCATGAGCTTTGATCATGAATTGCATGGGCCCTCTGCTTACAATACGGCACTCCAGCCAGATGTCACAGAGCTTGTTTTAGCAACACAAAACTCAATCCTGACCACTAAGGGAGCGTTTCACCTGTTTCTAGAGTGCCCTGAGTTTTCTGCATGGGGCCGGGGCAGTGGGATTTGCAGAGGGAATCAAGTGTTTTCCCAGTTGATCCCCTAAGTTGCGATGCTTATTTCTAGGGGGGCTAATTTCTGTGGGAGCTGCCTCTGCTCCGCACCTCTGGAAATCGGGATCCATGTGCCATAACCCTCCAAGCATCTTTAGCATTTTGCTCACAGCATCTAAAGTGACTTTTATCATCAAGTCCCAAGCAGGTTCCTTTTTTTGGGTTGGCTGCAGAGATTTGAGGAAGGACCTGGCAGAAACAATCCATGTAGCTGAGCATCCTTAGGCAGGCAGACAGCAGCGATATTCTAACGGCTCAGCAAGTTATTTATTTCCCTGAAAGAAATAAATGTCTGTACAGCCTGTGCCCAGCCCAACAATTGTAAGTGCACTGCTGGCACAGGCAGGAGCGGTGCTCTGAAAAAGCTGGGAGCTTGCTATTATCTCCAGTGAAAGCACTGTGTTCCAGTACTTCAAGCAAATCAAACAATACTCAGAAGCTACCAAGCCTCCTTCCCTACCTGCTCTCCCAGCAAACCACGTACCTGTTTTACCGAGCACAATGGCAAACTAACAGCAAACTCCAAACTCTTACTGCTGAGCCAAGAGCAGTGGATTAGGCAGAGGCTGGAAACGGCTTTCACACCCTTGCTGTTCCCCAGCTTTGAGACTATCCTGATGTTTTTGTTTATTGGGGAATTTGAGCAGGCTTTCACGCTGGCACTTTCGTGCCAGAGCTTGTAGGGCGTAAGGGGGAAGACCTGTGCAGAAGACGGTGGCCTTTTCCTGCACGGTGCTGGGGACCGGAGCGTGGTGCGGCTCCTGGGAGGATGAGGCTTTGTACCCTATTGTGGTTAAACCCAGGACTGGTAAGGGACCCATTGCTAGAGACAGCTAGAGGGGGTTGTGGCCTCAGCGATAAGGGCAATCACTTTAGGAACAGAAGGACATCGTTTACGGACATGGCCACCCTCAAACCTCCAGGGACTCTGCTTGGGAGACTGGGCTTCCCTGTCCTGCTCTAGAAGGAAACATGTCAAACTCATCCGTTGCTAATGGGACGGAAACACGAAAAAAGGAAACCTCTTCATGCCCAATGAAGAATTTATCTGTGATTTTTAAGCTACCTGCTTCCATAGCATCGCTTCAGTGAGCCTCTAGAGAAGAGGAAACCTTGAACTTCATTCACCATAATTAGCCTACCAACTTGTACATTTTACGGCAGATTCTCAGCTGTTGTACACTGTCACGGTTCAGATAAAAGAAAGTGCATTAGCAATGTGCTATTTTGTCTACTGGCCTGCAGTGGTTAATCCCACACTCTCTGCTGGGGTAGTCGTTGTCCCACTCAGTGCTTCCTGGAGGGTTTGATGCACCAGGCGAACGGGGTCCAACACTGTTTTGAAACTCAGACGAAATATGTGAGAAGTCCTGCAGGGTGGAAAGGAAAGGAGGGGTTACAGGAGTGTACACAGCAGGAGAAACAGCAGATCTACTAATATCGCATAAACACGTTTACATGCATTGCCCCAAAACCGCGGCAGCGCAGGGGGAGCCCCAGGGACAGCAGCGGGTCCAAGCCCAGGACCCAAAACCACCGTGGTGGGACCTTGCAGAGTGCGAGTTGTTGCAAGCAGGTGTCAACGTGGCAACATCTGGTTTACATCCCTCTTCCCCCCTCGTTTTTCAGGACCTCCCTCCTCGGTGAACGTTGCAGAAGACGCACGGCCATGAAAGCCTTTGCATCAGCATGCTGGCAATCAAAATCGTTTTTCCACTTCAAGTGTAGCTCCCTTTGCACTAATGCGTTACCCCATCATAATGTACAGTAACAAGGTAAGGAACATCCGCACACGCAACGCTCTCTCCGTCAGCTGTCTCTGCTGGCAATTTAACAAGGACGCTGCGGGCCTGTTTTATCTGAAAACCGATTAGCTTTCCCAGTTTTTTGGGGTTGGCTTAATTAGGTACCATTAGGCAATGTATATAAACAAGAGCCATGGTAGTTACCTGACCAAGAACATGATTTTCTCCAAAACATCCAAATTAGGGCAGTGGGCTTTCTCGGGGTCTTTTTAGGGTTGGGTTTCTTTTTTTCTTTTTTTTTTTTACTTTAATTTTTTATTAGCAAACATATGTGGAATGAAGCTTCACAAAATGCTGCCTTCAGCAACACCAACTACCCCAATTAAAGTGATTATGAGGATCCCCTTTTCTGCTCATTTCCGGACTATCACCGAATTACAGAAGCCACTTTTGCTTATGTAGAGCCAAAGCCCCATCACTGTGCTGGAGAAGTTACTTGGGATACCCTGAGCAGGTTGGAAATTAAAATAGGATTGAGGACCTGACCTTCCCACATGTGCTGTCTTTTTATTATGGTCAGGGATAACTGTGCTTCCACATCCCTGCTCTCCTTTGGTTTTCTTCCACTGCAATATCTGTTCCCAAATTAACAATTTCTGTTTTTCTCAAAGTTAGCCCCAAACAGAATAGGTCACACTCTGGGGAAAAAAAGCTTTGTTCATTGCTACAGTACTGTATGAATTTTGTGATATATAGCTAGCAAACATGTGAAACACAATTATTCAGCCAGCTGGGTGAATACTACAGTTAAAAGTATCATCAAGTAAGTGGTAGCAGCTGTGAATTCACAGCATATGTCCTCCACTGTGAATAGTTCATCCAGTTCATATTCCAGATGGAGAAACTCTGGAAAACACTCGTCTCCTCCTTCGTATACTGGCAAGTTCTCTATAAGGTATAGGAAATGGTTTTTGCTATAGACAATTTTTCCTCCAGATACATTTTCTTAATAGCAGGTTTAAAGAGGAGAGACTTTGACCCCGCAGGCTGGCTCCCAGCGCACGGGCTGCCGGGCTGAGCCCGGGCATGGCTAAGGATGGTTTGCTTCAGCAGGTTTTACACACTCATAGCACCGGTCTATAGAATTTGTTTTGCTGCTACGCTGTTAGTGTAAGCATACATGCAAGCACACACTGCATGCTCTCATCTCTCTTCCACAAAAGTGATTTTCTCCGATTGCCAGGCAGCTTTTGGAAAAATACTGATTTTTATATTTTGTTTGTGACAGTCCCTCTATCCTTGTTCTCCTCCTCCCCTGCCAGATCCCTGCTATTATCCCATGCCCTTCCAGCCCCCCCTTCTCTCAGCAGTATCATGAGAGGGGTTTCTCACTGACTATCCAACCCATCGTTTCAGATGACCAGACAAAGCTGGGGGACCAAATGCACAAGGAGCTTTTACCAGGGGCATCCCCAATTCCCACATCTTCCCCTCCTGAAAAAGCCTTCATTGCCACATTGCACATATCCGCCCATTTGTGGGGGTGCTTGTGCTCCCAGCTCAGCACTCTTGAAAATGTCACCCCCAGACTACGAGATCTGCAGGCTGGTGGAGCCAGGAGAAGACTCCCCTGGGGACAACGTTGACACCCAACATCCCCAAAGCACCCAGAAACCAGCAGACCCAAGGGGAAGCAGGGAACTGATGCGGTTCATGCCGCAAACTCGCTCTCCGAGCACCTACCTGCTGCCCGGGAGGCGAGGCGTTCATGGGGGGCTGTACCTGTAGTGCCATGGGGGGGGACAGGAGGGGCTGCTGGGGGACCTGCTGCATGCTGAGGGGCTGGCTGAGGAGGGAGCTCTGCGGGTGGTGCAAGGAGAGCTGCTGGTGGAGGGGGGGGCTGATCTGGAAGGAGGGTGGCGGGGAGGCACTGATGCTGGGCAGCATGGGTTTGGAGGTGAGGGTCCTGGAGAGGCTGGGGTGGGGGTGGCCACGGTAGTTCTGCAGGTCCGATGGGGACAGGAACGAGCCCAGGCCGGGGTAGGGCGAAGAAGGCTGCGGCGGCATCGGGTACATGGGCTGCTTGGGGGGGATCATTTTGGAAGGTGGATTGCTCTGGGCACTTTTCGTCTCTCCCTGGTCGGCAGAGCTCTGTGGGAAAACAGAACGGAGGGTGATGAGGAGGGAAGGGAGGAAACATCGTTACATGTCCCGAGATGTCCGTCCGTCCAACCGAGCTACCCGGACTCCCTGCGGCTCCTGCTCCTCTCCCACCAGCCAGCACGTGCGCTTCCAGCCCTGCGCCTTGCTGGGTGACTGCAGGCTGGGTGCAGTATCCACATCTGGGAAATTAAAGCCCAGTAACTCAGCTGTGCCTTTGGCAGAGCCTGGAGCACCGGAGGGGCATTAACTGGCGCGGAAGCAAACCGCCTGCCTGCAGCTCATTCCTTAGGTCCGCATAGGTGGATGACAAAATCACTTTCGCTTCCAATAGAGAACGAATGGGTCTGCAAAAACTCTGCTTTCCTAATCTCGTGCATTC